TTAATACATGTCATTCCCATTTAGAATGGAACGGTGTTATCCGCACTGTTAATATGGTGAGATATTGAATGAGTGTATTTCGCATAATGAGATTATGTGGAACAAGGACACAGACACAATATGAATTTCTAATAATTCTGTTAAGTATAGAAATTCTAATTTAGTCTACTGATGGTCATATATAGGATAGTCTTAATCCTGAGATCTTAACAGACTCCTATTTATGGATTTGTGTCTTTTGATTTACTCGGTACGAATTCTGAGATCCTGAATCCTATTCCTTGTATTTTGGAGACATGATGAAGTAGGTAGCCGGGAATGTTATTACACGAGATGGAATCCATTCCTTCTTAAGAAATAAGTAGATAAATAATTCTCTTAAGGGTTGATTCGGTACTTGGACTAGTAGGAGCTCCGATTCATGAATGTGTTTTATGAATCACTGTCCATTAGAGAATCAATGGTACTCAAGGATAAAGAAGTAATTAGAGAGGTTAACGGATTTTACCTAGCTATAATTATGAATTATTTATGGAGAATTGATCTATATGCAATGACTATATCAAATGGACACTTCACAGTTTAGAAGTAATTTATGTCTATACTTTTTAGAGTGCAATTCCAAGTTTATAGTGGAGTAACTATTGGAATTAATAGAATTAATTAATTAATTAAAGTGTTTAATTGATTATTAATTTTATTGGAGCTCGGGATTATAGGTCCATTAATCTTCGCGTCGTCCTAGTAATTCTACCAGACACAAAGGACAAAATAGAAATTTTAGAATTACGGAATTATAAAATTAAATACTCAAAAATAATTAATTGATACCAGACACAAAGGACAAAATAGAAATTTTAGAATTACAGAATTCTAAAATTAAATACTCAAAAATAATTAATTGAGAATTAATTATTATTTAAATAATGTGATTATTTAAATTTGAATTTGAACACATCTAGATTTATCCATTTAAACTTATTTGATAAGTTGTTCAATTTAGAATTCAAATTAATTTAAGTTTGACTTAAATTGGAATTTGAATTTGAGTCAAAATTGGACTACAGGATAAAGGATGATTTTCTCTTCCTTCCCTATCTGATGTTGGCGCCACACAAGGATGAGAATCCCTATCTTGACCGGCCACACTAAGGGATAAGGGGTAAGGAGATTTTGTTTCAAATTCAAATAGGAGATAATTAACAAGCTTTATCTTGGAGATATAAATTGGATTCCTTCTAAAAGTTTGACTTCTACTCTATAAATAAGAGAATAGTAGAAAATTGTGGATACAATTTTTGAGACAATTTTCGGAATGAATTTTTGCCCTAATTTTAGAGGTGGCCGAAATTTCTCTATAGAGTGAAGGAAAAATTTTTCTCCAAAAATTTCACATCGTGCATGTGTTGGTGTTTGTGAAAATTTGAGTGTTTATTGTAACCCGTTTTGTCTCATGTGTGCCCACACACACGTCTTCATGGATTCTAGGAATTGACGTGGAAGACATTGGTTTTCTAAACACAAAGCTTTGGAGCAACGATTGTTCGAGGTCAAAGAACTCAAGTTATCATCCGAGTCGACCTCCAGGTATTTTTCTAATTGAGTTCTTAATAAATGAATTAATGAGATTAATTTATTCGTGCATAAATTAATATAATCTATAGAGTATCTCAAAGGTTTTATGAAAATTTTTGTTATAGACGATCCGCCCTCCCCGTCACGTTTCCGCATCCGGATTCGATTCGGAGACCAACAACTATTATTTTACAATGTATTTGACATGAGAGTTTAGGAACTTTATAACCTAATAGTGCCAGTCCAATGGCAATGCTACAAAAATTACGGGCTATTTCGACCGTATGAAGAATGAATCCACTCAATAAATGTTAATTGAGAAAATTGTTGGACTTGCCTTTTAATCTGAATTTTTATCATTTATTCTTAATTAATACACCATTTTAGTTAATATATTTATTTGACTAAAAAAATGTATTAATCAAGTATAACTGGTAAAAATTCATACTCATACACTCTCAGAGGTATTTGTCTCATTTTTTTATGAAAATTAGACACAATAAACCACTCATGAAATCTAATTATTCACATACACCATTTTTATTCACTCAAATATCCGAAAAAAATAGTATATTTGAGTACTACTCTCTAATTCACCCAGCAAGCACAAAGCACCGCTACTTTGCATAGCTCCGGGCAGTTCGAACATAATTTATGTCCATATCCCACAAGTTTACGCCAGATATTAGGGCAGTTTGGAATTGCACTTAACAGAAAACAGTATCCAGCATTTAGGTCCATGTCCGGCATTTTGTAGTCCGTTGTATATGATATAAAGGTTCTTAGGTCCTGTTTATTTCACTAATTCGAGTTTTACTACAGTAAAAAACTTTCAGAAGCAGTCACATTTAACTTTTTTGTTACAGTAAAAAATTCTCACATAAAATCACATCTCAACTCAAATTAAAAACTCAAATCAGCAAATTAAACGGCCCAAACTTTTTATTTATCCAGGAGCCAAGCGCCAAGCCCCAAATAAGCAAGTTTTTTTTTTTTTTTTGGAGGGCAAAAATAGCTTAAAGTGTTTATCACTTTTTATGTGTTTATCTAGCAGCAACATATCATACCATTTCCAACTCGCTGGACGTGCTTGAACGGTGCGTTCAAAAATATTAGTAGAGCCCGATAAACAGATAAAACTTGGTGTTGGGCGGTATTTTTGAATGATTAAAATAAAAAAAAAAAAAAAAAAAAAAAAAAAAAAAAAAAAAAAAAAAAAGTTGTAACAAAAGCCAAATTCGAGGCCACCTTCCCGAGCACGTGCTCGGACAACCTCCCTAACACGTGCTCGGGTGCTCGGGAGGTTGTTAGCCTCAAATTTGACGTCTGTTATATTTTTTAATGCTTTAAAAAATATTACCCAACACTTTTTTTTCCCCCTTCCCTGCTGGTTGCTAAATAAACTTGCAACAACAGTACAAGCAAAAATGCTAAAATACAAGAATTCTAAAGGAAATGTCTACCCTAGAGAATAAGCAATATGCATAGTCGGAGTTCATTGACAAAACCAGCACCAGCAGTGTGTTGCCGAATTTCTTGAAATAATTATGAGTTCTAGTTGTTTACAGTTAGAAAAGAATAATATAATGTCCAACCAAATTAATCTAGCCTATCTTATTATAAAGATTTGGGAGACGACGGGGGGGAAAGAACGAGATGGTTTAGAGAAAATATAAGTGTACATAAAAAAAATAATATATTAATAACGACTTGAACGGGGAATCGAAGTAATGCCCCCATCCTTTTCCTTTCCAATTTAAACAGCTTGAATTGCACTATTCTTGCCCTCGCTCAAGTCGGAGCCACTAACTTGGGCATTCGTTTGAAAAGCTGACTGCCTTGAAGGCTCTCCCAGCCATTTTAAGGAGAGCGGTGAAGGCTCTTTATGGCCTATCTCACCCTCTCCTAAACTAAGTTGAGACATGCCAACGAGTTCATCGACGTTGATGTGGTTGGCAACGATCGGGATTGGCTTCAGGACCTGATGATGAGGTCTCTCGGCACTCTTTTCTTCATCCAGAGGAGCTGCGGCACTTGGCGGCCACAATGGAAAAGGAACGGGCACGTAAGCTGGGAAGAATCCGTGAACCATGGGGGGGAACCCATTTGATTGGATCATATTCATAGGTTCGTTGGCTTCTCCAACAGTTGCGTCCTGAGTAGCTTCCATGGGCTCACATTCTGGTTGGAGAGAGAGGTTTAAGGAAGGTAGTGATTTTGCATTATCAGATTCTCTTTCATGAAAAGAAGGCAGCAAATCTTCCTCTGGAACTGGTGGAGTATCTGTGGCCTGCAAGCCAATTACCAATTAGTCAGCCCACAAGAATAACTACACTGTTTAGCTACCACTAGTCACTAGAACGACCATAACCTAAACCAACACTATGCTCTGGTCTTAGCCTACTAGACGTGCTAATAATTTATCACATAAAATAAATCCAAGCTCTTCTCCTGTTAAATAATACTTCATCTTCCAAATAAGTGTGGTTTTATTTTATAATCAATAATTGGCAACATGGAAAACCATCTCTTTGTCTGACCAGTGCATGGGAAATGGTCAAAAACGATATAAAGAAGCAAAGACAAACCATATCAGGAACCATGTCAAAAAGGCTAGAGCGTCTCTTTCTTCGGGTAGCATTACTCTGCCGGATAAAATACTTCTGGGCATGGCTTGCCACCTGAGTGGGAGTTCTAGACACTACATAATTTCGAGCTATCCCACGCCAGTCCCCTTTGCCCAATTTCTGAAGACCAATTAAGAACAACCGATGCTCCTCTTCTGTCCACGGGACACCTGAAAAGAAAAAAAAAAATGGTATAAAAAAGTTTGAGATCCACAATCCGAGAGAGAGAGAGAGAGAGAGAGAGAACAATATAGATTGTTAAAGCACAGAATTCTATACTAACTACCACAATGGATTCTTCACACAGGCAGCAGGCACCTAGCACCCTAAGAAGATATACTAGAGCAAGCTACAATTCAGCCAAATGGAATCCAGTCAAATGTGCTACTCTCTTAGCAAGGAAAGTCTATTATGGGTTTCTAAAAGGATAGACTGCACAAAACTACTAAGGTGACCCCTTCAAAAAGCTTGTAATAGCAGTCAAGTACTTCAATCGTTGTAAAATCAAACCCAAGCGCAACCAGACAAAGGTTTAAAATCTTTACAGAAAATTAATGCAACCCCAATATTTAGCATTTGAAATTAGCGGCTCAAACTTTGGTAAATTCCAATTCCTGTCCATAAAAAAAAGTACGGCATTAATTCCTTGAGCTTGAACCAGAGGACGAAGACAATCCTCCATATCTCTGTGGTTACGAGGCAATGTCTAGATTAATCCATAGGAGTGAACTAATTCAGCACTATGTAGAGCTTATGCCGCATAAAAAAGAATCAAGTTTGTTCAAGGCATTGGTCAAGAACCAACCATGCTCAAACGTGATAATACTTGAGCTTAATCCTAAGTATTTCTCATAATATTTCACGGAGCAATCATTTTATGACCAAAAAAAGAGTTTCAAATCCAGGAAATTCCATTTCCAACGCTATCACAACCTCAGTCATAAATCAATATACCATGCGGATGTTCCAACACTTTTACGACCTTAGTCATTAATTACTATGTGATATAGGAGTTGACCAAACTATTCCTTCCAACAAATGCAACTCATAAGAGACCACAGAAATCTAGGAGGAGATCCATGACCAAACTCGAGAATCCATTCCAAGCACTACCCATTTATTCTCTAACTTTGAGGATTCCCTTTATGAATCTGTGGCAGCGCACCCAACAGATGGGCTCAGGCACTACTGCGAGGCCCAGTCTACGTAGGCCCACCCTAAGTTCAAGTATGCTCCTGCATCACTATACCATGTGTATGTTCTATATTTTGGTATTTTACCTAACACTTTCTGTAAAATAACTTATCCCATATTAAGTCTGGCGGGATAGGCAACTTCTCACTAAATTTGTAGAATGGAAGTTTTCATCATATAGTAATCTGTAAATCTGTAAAAGGTATAAAAGAAACAAATATGACTCCTTACGTCATGATGAAGGGAAAAAAATATAAGCTCCAAAAACTACTATTTTTACCAACTAAATGTGGAAATGAACAATCTAAATACCATTTGCATACGGCCAGGAAAGAAATTCCTAAAGTTTGACAACGAACAGTTTATAATTTAGTTATTTCCAGCACATGCAGACATAATAAGAAAATTGTTAACACCAAGAGAAACGAATAGCTGGATCTTTGCGATTAGCAAACGAAAATTTTCATAAAAGAATTCCTTATCTAAGAATTCCTTAGAACAGAAGAATGTTTCCAAATAAATTTGAATCTAAGTTACAACAACAAAAAAAAAAAAAAAGAAAAAAAAAAGATCATAGTTATAATAAAAAACAAAACAAAACAAAAAAGTCAAAACGGATCATAAAACAATAACCAGAACCTCAAGAACCTTATCCAGGATAGGAAAATCGAAATAAAGCAGCATCTAAAACATATCAATTTAGTTCTATCCAAAAACAAAACTGCAAGGAAAACTACGATTAGGAAACAAAATTATGAGGAAATGAAGTGGAAGAGAAAACCTTTCTTACGGTCGGCGCGGCGATTGGTGGAGCAAGAGGCGTGAGAAGGGTCGTCGGACAAGTAGCCGTCGGGCTCGTCGTGGTGGGGGTCGGAGGAGGGAGAGTCCGGGTTGGGGGAATCGGCGGCGGACGACGACGAGTGGTAGTGCGCCGACAAGCTCCCCATGCTGGCGCTCTTCTTGATGATCGAGCCGTCCGTCAGCCTCACGCCGAACAGCTTCAGCCCCCCACCGGAGGCTCCACCGCCACCTCCGCCGCTGCCGCTGCCACGTGAGGGGCACGTGCGGGAGTTGTGGCCGTTGTTGCTGCAGTGCGAGCAGCGCCGAGTCATCTTGTCCAACTCGACCGGGTCACCACGTCCGAGTTCAAGCGAGTCGAGAGATCAGAGAGAGAGAAATGGGAAGATTATTGTGTTGTTTTTGGGTGTTGGTAAATTGTGTGTTCGGAAACAAGGAGAGAGAGGGATTTATCTGGGGAGAAAAAGGGTAATTTGGGGAAACTATTTTTTGGGAGGATTAAGGAGGCTTTAGAAGAACCCGGCGGTACGTTAGCCGTGTTGCCTTTTGGATGAAATTACAATTTTGTTCTTTCCGAGGATAATGACTTGTCGTGTATTGTGTTTTTTCTTCTTTCTTATTTTTCTAAATAGCAGATAGTAAATATTTGATGTAATGTAAATAGTATATTTTAAAATTATTTATAATAAATAATAGTTAATTAAAAATATAAATCTAGTTGTAAATTCAAAATTTACAAGGATTTTTTTACTGTATTTAAATACTCTAAAATCTGTAATTTGTTTAACTTAATTTTAAAAATATATTCCTTACTATACTTCTGTTTTCTTTCTTATATTATATGTTTTAGGCCTTAGAGCTATTTACAATTCAATAATGTATATTTTACTAACATGCAAAACTAAGTAGTATTTTCTAGAAAATTTGATATATCCTATTCCTACTGTTAGATACTTCTAAAAATAGAGGTGGACAAATAAAATAAACAGACTGATTGTTCTAAACAAGAAAGTTAATTGTGCAGAGTATATGCCAATTGTCAACTTTACATTGTGTTAGTCCATAAATGGATTTTTTTTTTAAGATTTATGTGTAAAATGAGTCCACAAATTGTTCTAGAAAATTTGATATATCCTATTCCTACTGTTAGATACTTCTAAAAATAGAGGTGGACAAATAAAATAAACAGACTGATTGTTCTAAACAAGAAAGTTAATTGTGCAGAGTATATGCCAATTGTCAACTTTACATTGTGTTAGTCCATAAATGGATTTTTTTTTTAAGATTTATGTGTAAAATGAGTCCACAAATTGTACTTTTTAGTTTTTTTTTTTTTTTTTTTTTTTTTTTTTTTTTTTTTTTTTTTTTTATCTTCT